CAACAAGTGCCGGCGGCTGCCGGCAGGGCGTGTGCCCGTGGCGGGCAGGCATCCGGCGCCTTCCTTTTATTTTGATTTTTAAAAAATTCATTTCCTATTATTTTTATTATTATTAATTTTCTTTTTATCCCCTTTCTCCCTTTATTTTTCACAGAAAAAGTGTTTGCCAGCCTTCCGCAGGTTGAACGAGGCGTTTCCAAAATTATTGGAGGTGATCCTAAGGGCAACAATTTTCTTTACACCAATGGAAAATGTGTCGTCATCAGAAACGTTGATGTAATGTATCTTGATTTATTTTGGTTTCTGGTGTAAAGCTTTCTCTAAGTTGCATTTTGTCTCCTTGCCCTTCCTTTAGCAGCCTGTGCTTCATTCAGTCTTGGTGCTTTCAATCGAGGTCACAGATCCGTGATCAGCAGCAGGGGAATAAGTAGAGTGCATGACTCAGGCATAAAAAACATAGGCAGCGACTGTAAAAACATGTAGAAAATCTCGGTAAAATGCGCAGTTCTTTCCCTCTCCGCATGTAAACTGAGCTTAAGAGATGAGAGACTGGTATATTCTGGTTGGCCCTGTTTATCTTCTTAGGTATCATTATTATGAAGTTGATTGCTGTGTTTGCCTAATAAATGAGTTCTTCCCTCTTCGCTGTTTTGGACCTGTAGCCTGTCAGGGAAGCATTTAAATACTTGCAAACCTGAATCTTAAATCTTCGGCTTCTTTCCCCCAACCCAGCCCCAACTCTAGGAATCAAAACAGTTATGAGCTGCTGGACTCCATCACTAGCTGGGTGCAAGTTTTCAGCCCTGCTCACAGGGAATTTTGCTCTTCGATTAAATATTAGAACGCCCCAGTTAATGTTTTCAGTAGTGTGGAGGTTTGTGTTTGCTTTTTTCCTCTGAGGCTAACTAAAGAAATGTTAACAGAGTTATTTGAATGATTTCTTTTTAAAGATGGCATCCCTTTGAAAAGTGCGGAGGAAATGTTACACGTTTAGGCCATTGTTTTGCTACTGTTTTTTTAAAAAGTAAATTTCTTCGAAGTAATTGCTTGTTTTTTGGAAATTAAATTCTCCCCTGCAGCAGGAAGAGCTATAGGGGGAGGGGCAGGACATACCTCTCTGGAATTCTTAGGTCTCCACAACAATGGATTTGTTTGTGGCTGCTTCTGTAAATCACCTTTGTAAACTGAGCTGTTTTCTCACCACCCCCACTATATTCAGACATTTCTTCAATGTCGTGCCATAATAGATAAGTGCTACTAATAACTTAATTCCTTGCAGATTTCTTGATTGCTATCAGTTAAAATTCATCCACTTAAAACCAAAAGTAAGCTTGCACTCTGGATTCATAGTGTCGGCATAGTGTCTTTGTAATAGTGTTTTGCTCTTGGTATCAAGAAAAGTTCAAGTTTCTGAAACCAGAAGCCCCAGTTAAACCCTGTAATGACACACAGTGTGATGAGAGAAGAGGGAAAAGCCACTCTGCTTACGTTACAGTTTCTGACCAAGTCGTGAGTGCTGACCTTCTCCCTTGCACTGTCATTAATGCTCTTCTGACCCTATTTTGGAGGTTCAATTGGAAGAAAGCAATTTGCTTTACCTGAATGAGCTCACTGAAGATTAGCCCAGTCCAGACGTGAGCCCCAGCATGAGCTGGGGGGTGTAGGGCACATGGTGACCTGAGAACAGGCAAGGAGGGATTGTGGGACTTCAAACTGTTTAAACTCTCAAGGGAAGGTGAGAATGGAAGTCACAAATCCTTCAGTTTTATGGTGCAGTTCATGCTGACCCGACTGACAAGGGGAGTTTGCTGCTGTTAATAATTGACAGGTGACTACAGAATATATTGTAGCAATAACACAAAAAAATGACCAAAGCCTCTGCTGAGGCTCTTGTGCTGGAGAATGTTGCAGCTTGTAACCTAACTTGTAAGCGTTGCTGCTGAAGACCAATAGGTCCCGTGAACACAGCTTGTGGTGTGCTGAAAGGAAGAGAGAGCTTTTTTTCTTCCAGGATTTATAGGTTTCTGACCACGGCCAGGGATTGGATGGTCAGGGTAACACTTTCCCAACTGCACTGGCTGTGAGAGATGCCCATCACAAGATGTGTATCAGAAAGAATGTACACATATCTATGTTTACAGTTACTGTCCTGGGAAAGGCTTTAGAAACTATGTCAGCAAGCTCAAAAAGCTGAGTTTTCAGGACAACATGTAAGTGTGTCCACTCTTAGTTAAGAGCTGTTCCTTCTTTGCCTGATACAGAAGCCTCTCTAATAGTACGCAGCAACAACATGAAATGCTGGGGGTCTTTGTGTAATCCCCTCATGAGCAGTTCTCCAGTGGATGGTTGTGCTCTAATTAAAAAAAAAACAGGTCATCAAAATGCAGTGATCACCTTTCTCCTTAAGTCTAAAGCTATCTAGCATTAGCTAATCAGATGAATATAGCATTCAGGGTTAATGCTTGATCTTTGAGCATGATCTAGAGACTTCCTTAAGCAAGAAGTAGTTCTGGAGCAATGCTGGAAAGGCTCTGTGAAAAAGACTAGTGATATTTTTAAGGTTTCATACTTCATTAATATTTTATCTTCATGGGTCTAAGACTACTTTGAAGCTTGGAACTGAAACTGCTCACTTTCATATGTGGTGGCTCTGGTTTCAGTGTTTGAAATAAGCCACATAAGCTCGCTGCTGGTTTAATCTAGGTACTACATTTATCCCAGCTCACACTGTAATTTTCTCCTTAAATATCTTTTTACAAGCGTTTTTTTGGGGGGTTGGGCTTGATAAAAAAAAAAAAAGCAAGTTAGAAAACTTCCTTTACAAGTAGAAATAATACTATTGAATAAATAATGTACAGTTTGACAGCCCTAACTTATTACCTGGTTTCTGGAATTTATTTGCCATATCTTAAATTTGAGTCTTTATCTTTCATTTAACCCTTTAAATTGGTCTCTGTTTAGTTTCCTGGACTCTTGGAGATTCTTGCTGTAAAATAACACCTACCATGCCATTAATAACAACATGTGGGGGGATTTGAGCTCCCTGAACATGTAGGTGATGCAGATATAGAATAGGGAAAACATTTTGTCTTGCTCAGGTGAAATCCAGCTGGACACAAAACGAAGAGGGATATGCATGCTGTAAGTGCATATGGTTTTGGCTTAAGTAGAGCTGCAATGCACCCAAGCAATGCATAAAAGCAGGAATGAAAAAAAGCTCCTTTTTGCATGAGCAAGCTGTATTCTGTCTCCTGAGATGTAACAGTACTGCAACAGCAAGAACTCTTGTGAGCAGGAGACTGCTTTCTAACACAGAGCGGGTGTTTTAGTTTTCCCTGATTGGATGGCTGAGTCATACCATAACATCAGGTGGTTTTCTGGTTTGATTGAATAAATCTGTATTAATTATAGCAGTTAAAATGGAATTTTGTTTTGATCATATGAGTCAAATTTCTGGAGCTGGGACAAGCCTGTTAAATGGTAGAAAAACGTTTCTAAAGAGTTGTGTATTACTTTTGTAGCATACACACACTATAACTGAGAGGGGTGCAGAGTGACTTTTTGATACAACTAATTTGAAAGCAGTTTTTTGCCTTGATGTCATCCCTTTTTGATTTTTGTGGTGCCTCTATTGTATAACACTACTGATTTACTGAGACACAGAGTTCATTTTATTGTCCATCCTGAAACATCTGAAAACATAGTTTAGACTGAAGAGAAAATTGTGGAGTGACAGTGAATTTCTTTCAGAATTCCTGTACAGCTCTTCATACCAGGCTTTTAAAGCAGATTGAAATTATCAAGAAAGAGCAAGCCTAGCACGTCTCATTGGTTACTGAATGATTTTGGGTACATGGTGATGATTAACAGCCATGTGTTATGGTTGACTGCAGGCTTAAGTTTCATACTTGACTACAGTAGAATTTTAGATGTGTGCTGCAAAGCACAACTCATATTTAGTATTCCGCTAGGGTAACTGCTTTATCCCTGGGCTAGCCCCAAAAAAGGAGAGCCTGATGCTTGGCCTGTTATTTTGGAGTGTTTTTCTATTGTTTGGTAGGTATTGGAGAAGAAAGGGTCATCAAGAGGAAATTCTTTTTTTGTGTTAGTTGTTAGAAAGTTCTGTGTTGCTTCAGTGGCAGCAGTGTTCTGCAATGTCTGCTGCACTTCTCACTTTTAGACAATTGCTTAATTTAAGATGGAAGGCAGGGTTTGAGAGAAGGGAGTGCAGGGAGAAATTATGAATTTTATTGTTGAATTTCTGATTTCATTCCTTTGAAAAGGAGGAGGTACAACTGTGTAACTTTTTTTTTTTTTCCCCCCTTTAAAATAGAATCCTGCAATTGCTGACATCTACACTGAGCATGCCCACCAGGTTGTAGTTGCCAAGTATGCTCCCAGTGGATTCTACATAGCCTCTGGAGGTAAAGTATCCGTGCTGTTAAAGTTACAAACTTTAGCAGGCAAAACAGTAGTAACACTTCCTGTGTGCGTGGAATATGCAGTCAGTGGGATGTGCTTCGATGGAATTACTTACACATCTCTGAAGGAGAAATTATTTATGTCCTTGTTCCTCTAACCTTTTTCTCAAAGCAGTGAGCTTAGTGACATTCTTGGTCTTTTAAAAATGTGTTATTTCAATAAAGAAAGAACCTGGAAATGAACCCTAAATACTTAGTATGATGAAGACTTGTGTAAATATAACAGTGTGAAAAGTTATTTTTGAAATACAGGACTATTGTTTGTGATGTTCATAAACTTTGATACTTTATGGGCAGGATAGGGGTTCTAAAACAGTGTGTGCTCCTTTCTTTTCCCTTCTTCTTGACCAAATTTGGCAACATTTATGACTTTTGTTACTTTTTAACCTGAGCTAAAAAAAGCTTTCCTTGGCAAGTTAGCAGGGAAAGGGGCTGAGTCTCAGTTTCGGTATAACGCATATGAATCAATAGTCTGAGGATGTGTAACATGATTTTTTACAGTCTGAATTTCCCATATTATAGCAGTTTTTGACTACCAAAGAACTGAACAAACCTTTTTTATTAGAAGCTTGCATCACATAATTGAGTTTTTTTTCAGGAGGAGTGGTACACAATGAAGAATATTGATAAATACAATACTGTAACTTGTATTTCTTGCAAAGATTTGCAGCTAATATATAGATTTTAAAAAAAAATGTTTGCTATTGTCAATTAGAAGTGCTTTAGGAGCAAGTAATGTGCCCAAATACAGAGATATTTTCTGTGCAATGTATCTGAAAAGAAATCATTCTGAATATGAGCCCTTTAGAAAGGGAGCACAGATTCCTGCAAAGGTCTTAGTAGAACAGGAGTTTATCTTTCAGCAATTCCAAGGGAACTTTATTTTTTAAAATGTAAAATGTCCTATCCTTCTTGCTTTCCTTCATATCAGAAAGTTATATTAGAATAAGTATTTTTGAAATACTGGGGAACCTTTAAGAACACTGATAGCAGAGCTGGTTGTTTTGGGTTTTTTTCCCCTTTTCTCACATTCTTGTCTGAAAGGGACCACAGCCAAGATTTTCTTGGCTCAGTCTTGTGTGTGGACCATGTGTCAAATTGAATACCCTCTTAAAACCCAGTTTGCATTCTGTATTCTACAAACTTGGTGCTCTAGGTTTGTGTAGCACTTAATACTCAGAAGAACTACCTAATTTTTTCTTGTAGTCTCTTGGATTTCTAGTCTTTTGTAAAAGAACAGTAATAGATACTGTGCTAGGGAAGTATTTGGTTGTTTTTTCTCAGAATTTTTGTCTTACCCAAGCGAAAGAGTTTAGGTTGCAATATTTCCCTTAAAAAGTGTCTTCTGTATGTCATTTATAAATAGTTTTGTGATAGTGCTGAGCATGGGGTCTGAGGATAGATGACCAGGCTGTTTAAGCTGTTTCTAAGTATAACATGTAAGATTCATTTCTCTATCTATAAATCTGCATTAGCCATGCAGCCTGCATTAATACTTCTTGTGCTTCATGAGACAGACCTTTGGCAATATGTGTTTGGCTTTTATGGTAATTTCTCTTACTGCAGACGTAGTAATGGGAGATAATGCAAAGTTAAAGCTCTGTGTCTTTTTAATAGATGGAGGAAACAATTAGATTGTAAAGTCTGCATTAAAATTCTTCTTCAAGAACAAATTCTCTCTATAAAATTCTCATGATGTCCTTTTAGCAGAAGTGAATGGCCATGTCCCAAAGATTCAGGGTGGCTGTATGTTTAAATTTAATTGTAAAGATGCCCCAATAAATGGTGAACAGGATTTAAGCATTCTGATGAGTTGACAGATGCACATTTTAGCATGTGGTTTATTCTAAAACAGTGGCTTTTTTTGAAGGGTACAATACACACCGACTTTTCTGTGTGGGTTTCATTAGAGATGTGTAAATTTGTCTGTGTATAGAACAATTCCTCTGGTTACAATCCTGTACCACAGTAATTGCTCTGAACAGCTCTTGGGTTTTACAATACTCAGTGGAAACAGTGAGCCAGGGAGCTTTCATTGTCTTAAGTCTTAAATTGTTAACTGCTTGTGCCATGTCTGCAGCTTTTGACATTACTGTTCCTGAATATTCTGTTGCACTCCTGTCTAGCATTCCAGATAGTGCAGGCATCCACACCATTAAGTGTGTACATGCTTCTGTATAGAAAAAGCACACTGACGTGCATGAATTCAGTTCTGTGGACAGAAATCTCTTTGTATGTCTACATATGCCTGATATTTGTATGCAAAACAGGTCTTCTTTGAAGGTACAAATTGTAGTGCATCAACCACTGTCCACTGGGCTGCTCCCTTTTTATAGGTGTAGGGTGGCTTACTTTGCAGTGAGGTGTCTTGTAGCTGCTGGGCAGGGGAGCTGGGCTGGCTTGTTCTTTGTGTAACAGATACTTAACACATACCAGCTGATGACATTAAAGTTTCTACTCTTACTGTGCAGCTTTTTCACATGTCTGTAAATGTTTTCTCCTTCTGTTGTATTTGGTACTGCATGTTTTGAATTGTAATATCTGGTTAAAAACCTAATTTGTTGAAATGGATATAGTCTTCACCATTCCTAAGTAAAGGGATTTGTAGTAATTGTAATAGGGTAAGGTAGTAGGTCCATAGTACAAGTGTTCAGTGTAGCTGAAAATCTGTACTCTGGCAGATTGATGAGTCATGTGACTGAGTCATGCTGGAACAATAGTTATATTCTATTTTATTATGGCAGATGTCTCTGGAAAGCTGAGAATCTGGGATACTACACAGAAGGAACACCTGCTGAAGTATGAGTATCAGCCATTTGCAGGAAAAATAAAGGACCTTGCGTGGACTGAAGACAGCAAGAGAATTGCTGTGGTTGGAGAAGGAAGGGAAAAGTGAGTAATTCTTTTGTGTTGGTGTGTGTTTATACATACATGCATTTACTGTAAACCTCTACATTCTATCAAAGCAAGTTCCTTGCAGAAAGCTTTTAAAATTCTTCAGTGGAATGAAGTCATTGCTTTTTCCCTGTCTTGTTTCTTAGAGGTAGGTGGGTATTACATTCAAGGATAGCTGTTTGATGGATTTTTTGCCAAATTCTAATAAGGGTAGGAAGGGGAAGACAAGGTATTTTTTCCCCTCTTCCTTCACTTGTTGGACTCATGGTCTAATTCAATTGGTTGAATAAGAGTTTAAAAAAAAAGTGTATCTCAATTTTCTCATTTGGCAACATACTTATATTTTTAGGCTTTATTATGGTAGTTTAATGAAAGGACAGCAAGCAATTGTCTTTTACCTGACTAAATGAGATGCCCAGATAGGTTTGTGTCCTCCATTTAATGTTCAAAGACTGTCATAACTTCTAAAGAAGAGTCCAGACCACGTAGTCTTATGCCTAAAGGGATGAAAAGCATCATGTGGTGCTGTTCCCTAGTCCCCTGAACCATTGTTTAATCCCTGTACTGTGTCCTTGAAAGAGACTCTCTATCCTCCATTGCTCCATGTGCCTCTGGGTAGATACAATGTGAATTTGCTCTCCTTCAAAAACCTGGCCAGCTTCCTGTTCTGTGGATGCACTTTCAGTCTGGAATATTGTTGAAGGGATTCTAAAGAAGGCCTTTCAAATAGCAATGCTCTGGCAGTTTAGTGCCTAGGTATTGATTATATTGAGGTTTCTTTCTAAGGTGATTTAGTGTAAGAACTGTCAAAAATGCTTTTAAAACTCTTATTTCCTTGAATCTTTAAGGAATAATATTTGTAAAAGTGATGGTACCCAATCTAGGCTAAATAGATAATTGTGATCCAGTGCCATTGTTATCCTAGCTCTCTCCAGTCTGTTGTGGCTAGGCAGATGGAGTAATTTACTGCTTTCTTTTATAAACCTTATCTTAATGAGGCATAAATCTTGTATTAGTGAGGAACGTACATCGGATCTCTGAATTTTAGAAGTTTTATATACAAAATCTGATTGTTTGTCCCCTTCAACAAAAGTCTCCTATTGAAGATTAGAATCTCTCACCAGCAAGATCTCAAATAGCCCTCAGGGAACTGTGATGTGCTTGCATGAGATTAATGAGATGACCTAATTTCTTTTCTTTGAGTGCACTCAAATCTGCAGTTTGCAGATGTTAAAGGAGTTAATGTACGTTTAACTTTTATGAATTGTAGTTATTGTGTGCTTTTCTAGATTTGGAGCAGTGTTCCTGTGGGATAGTGGCTCTTCAGTTGGTGAGATTACTGGGCACAATAAAGTGATCAATAGTGTGGACATTAAGCAAACAAGACCATATCGTCTGGCAACTGGCAGTGATGACAACTGTGCTGCTTTCTTTGAGGGACCGCCATTCAAGTTCAAGTTTACACTAAGCGTGAGTTTGAGTTTAGATGTGGCTCTGTTGAACTGTGCAGTTTCCAACAAGCTTGCAGGTCTTATCACAACCAGCTGTTAAAAACAGAAGTTCACTTCCCCTGCTTTGAAGCATAGCTGGTGTCAAGTGGGTTTCTTAAAATCATGTGTAACCAAATGTTCATCTCGGGACAAAAAAACCAAAGTAAATGATTGGTTAAAAACAGAATCTGAAACACTTTTTCCAATATTCTTTTTTTCATTGTCACTAAGCCATGGAAGGGATAAAGAAGGCTGTTTTATTGGTTCTGTTGATGCTTTCAGAGCTCTGTTTCCCAGTGCAGATGTGTGTAGAATTTCTTAAAGCTTTCCAAGGTGCACAATTCAAGAAATCTGATAATTTTAATGGAATTTTCCCATCCATAAAGAGTGCACAAATCTGAAATCCCAGGGCAACTTAGAAAGGGTGAGAGCTGATGTTTGAAAGCATAACTTGATTTCATGGAAAGGGTATGTAACTTATGTGGTCAGTCTTCTGCTTCTACATTCCTTTTAACTTAGTTTCTTATTCTGCTTGTTACAATCTCTTAAATTAAACAAAGGCTGGAACTACCACAGTGAAGGTGTATTCATTGCTGCATAAGGCCAAAGAAAATAAAAAGCCACCAGCATCTGCAGCTGTTTTGATGGCAGGAGATCTCTTGCCTCAAACTATTGTGAAGATATTGGATGTTATTGTAATAGTAGATGCAAAATGTTTAGTTTGTATTTAAGTGTTAAAAATGGTGTAGTAAGCTTTTTATTTTCTTACACATGAGCCTTGAGTAGTCTTCATATGCTGACTTTAGTAAGGATTCCATTCCAATTCTAGAATAGGAATTGTTTTGAGCTCTGCAATCCAATGAAGTGATGTAGTTGCCTAATATATTTCTGAACTTAAGCTGATACTTGCATTTTGCTAAGCTGGTTCTTTTGGAACTCTGAAGTCCAAATTGCCTACCAGTGCTGCTTAGACTGGTATGTGATGCAGTCTTCCTTTTAAAGTGATAGTTGGGTTGATATATGGGATTCTGGTATGGGTTGTTGTATGGTTTAGATTAGAGCCTGCAGTATCACTGGCGTGAAAAAAAAGTGTGGTTGAAGAAAGTAGGTTAGAACCTGCCTTCCATAATACTTAAAATAGTCTTCCAAATCTCTCTGCATGGGAGCTTTGGCCTCATTGTGGTGCTTCCCTATTTAACGTGTGTTTTCTAGTTTGCATGGTTTGAATAGTCTCCTACTTGTAAATAGTCTATTTGGGGAGCATACATCAGTCTTGCCTCATTGCTTCACAGAACTGTCACTAATGCAGTCTCCCAGAAATGGAATAATGGAATTTCAGTAAAATAATAACTTATTCCTCATGCCTGTGCATTTTTGGTTTTTTTTTCAATGAGAAGTGTAAAGTACTCTTGTGTGTATAAAACTCACTGGGGAAGAATCTTATTTTTGCATGTAGGCTGCATCTGACTTTTTTACTACTTATCCCTGAAACTGGGTAATCATTCTCCTGGTATGCAGAGTTGTTTTAACTACATCAGTAATGGTGTCAGTGTCTTCCCTGGACTGTCCTTGGTCCCCATGATTCTCTTCAGATAGCGGCTAAACTTGCCTCCTAGAAATTTTCTACAGCAAGCATCTCCTATACAGCTAATTTATGGCTCACATATAAGAGAACTTCATTGTTACTAGATTGTGTTCTATGTAAAATGGTCTTTTCTTTTTTTGTTTGCCAATTCTTATGTTTTTTCTACAGGACCATACACGGTTTGTGAACTGTGTGAGGTTTTCTCCTGATGGGAACAGATTTGCTACAGCTAGTGCAGATGGGCAGGTAAAAAACAAGGAACTCTTTATATTGATTTTAGCATGAGAAGATTTTCTTGTGCATTTTTGGTATAGGATTAGTTTTGTAAAATCCATGTTGCTTCTTTTTAATGCCACGAGTTTAAACTTTTAACTAGCCTTCTGTAAATCTGTAATAACTGATAAGTGGTAATAACCAGACTATTCTTACTCAGGTTTTTTCCCTATTCCATCTCCCTAGCATTCTCCTACAGTTATTTTGGCAGTAACATGTTGGACTTTTGGAATATGTATGTTATGATCCTGAGAGGTCTAGCTGAAATACAGAATTTCATAGATAGCAACCCAGCTCCATGTGTACTCCCTACTGGTAAGGGCAGGTTGACAATGACTCATTTGCCATGGGTAACTTGCCCTTCTCAGAGGGCAGACTCCCATGACAGCTGTGATAAGCAGCTGTCATCACAGCAGGAGTTAAAACTGTAACATCTCCCAGAATTTCAAATGTCTGGAAGTACAGGAGACTTGCTGTGATTATTAACAATTTTCATCTCAGTCATTTAGTCTTAGTTATTCAGTGCAGCATAGCTTCTCCTTAGAAAGTGCCTCTCCTTAGAAAGGAGTCTAGTGTACCAAAGTGTCAGACACTATATGGGTTTTTTTCTATTACTGCTTTTTGCTTTAAGTTGTATTTCTGTGTGCTTTTTTAAGATTTTTGTCTATGATGGGAAGACTGGAGAGAAGGTGTGCGCTCTTGGTGGAGGCAAAGCACACGATGGAGGTATTTATGCTGTAAGTATCATTTCATTTGTGCAAATGATCCATAGTGTTTCATTACCCAGTTAATGAACTGCAAAGTCTTGGATTAATAAATGCATTTACTGTCTTGTGGTGACATTTGTTTTTACAGATTAGTTGGAGCCCTGACAGTAGTCAGTTGCTTTCTGCTTCTGGAGATAAAACTGCTAAGATCTGGGATGTTGGTGCTAATTCTATTGTAAATACTTTTAACATGGGATCAAACGTGTTGGATCAGCAGCTGGGTTGCTTGTGGCAGAAAGAGCATTTACTGACTATCTCCCTGTCTGGCTATATCAATTATTTGGATAAGAACAATCCAAATAAGCCTTTACGTGTCATAAAGGTAGGTTAAAGTTCTGTTACTTTATGAGTTTGTGTAATGACTCAGTGATTGAAGCTGTCAAGGTGGAATAGTATCTATTGAAAAACAGCTTTGTTAAATTAGCATTACCAAATGAGCTATGTGTGACTTTCTTGAAGTCATATGAATTAAGAAGTTGCTATTTACATGTGTGAGACTGTGCTTTGTGAAAATTCCCAGACTGATTATTTAATTTTAATTAATGTTATCAACTTATTTTTTTGTTGCAGCTTTTAAGCACTCTTGAGATGAGAAAAGAAATAGAGCATAGATAGAAAACTACCAGTGATGTCTCATTCTTCCAGAACTAGTGTATTGTGGACAAGGTGATTAGGGTTCCCTTGCAGTCAAACTTTAATTTTAGGATTTAAAGAGTTCACTGACACAAGACTCTCTCTCATGGGAACTTACATTTTTACATGAACTAGAAACAACGTCCCAGATTTTTGCCATCACTGCTATAATTCTGGAAGTTGGTGTGGGTACGTGACCATTTTTAGTCCTCTTCCCTGAATCATAAAGTGCCTGAAAAGCAGTGATGAAAAGACTACAAAAGTATTTTGGCTCATCAGGCTAATAAGGACATCCATGGTGCTTATTGTTTCTCATCAAGGACATGGCAATAGCAGTGCTATAACAGTTAAGTGACTGCATTGTAAAATAGTGCTTTTTATGCTGGGTGACTTTTAATGCTTGTGAATAGCATGTTATTTTCTGAATAACCTATAATTCTTCTCAAATAGGTGTATGTATGTGTTAAAAATTGCTCATCAGTAATTATTTATGTCCCATTCACAGGGTCATAGTAAATCAATTCAGTGTCTTACGGTGCACAAAAATGGTGGAAAGTCCTATATTTACTCTGGAAGTAATGATGGTCATATTAATATCCTTTATTTAATAGTGATACTTGTTCTAGTCTTAAAGTCTGAGAGTTCATTAGGAGAGGTGAAAAAAAGCTTTGCCAAAGACAAAGTTTATTGTACACAAGTGAATATTTTGTCTACAGTTTATTTTGCTTTCCTGTTTTATTAGCTGCTGCCACACTTTCCTGCTAAATATAAGCCAGCTCTTAATTTTCAGTTGTTGCTTCTTCATGATAGGTAGCTTGAGAGTATGGAGGAGCAAGTAAATATATGAATTAGCCTCTTGTAACATCCAGAAACACCAATACATATTTTCCACTTATGATAGAATATGCAGAAAGTTACATTTCCAGCATTCTGAAGCTTACAGTTGCAACTACAGTCCTTTATCATATGAGGGAAAAGCCAGTGTTACAAGGGCTTCTAACTACTTTAAAAACAACTTCTAGTTTCAGACCTAGTGTTTATTATTCCACTATTTGCTACTGTTTCTGGTAGGCCATTTAGCATTTAGTTACAGAACATCAGAGTTTAACTTAATAAATATTATTAGGTTATCCATGGAGCTTGCAGAGTCTCCATTCCTAGAGTTACTCAAAACCTTACAGAACCCTGCAGCTTGTTGTAGATGACACCAATTTAAATATCAGGTTGGACTAAATCTCAAGAGGCCACTTCTATCTAACCTTAGCTGTTCTGTCAATTATTTAACTTTTTATGGTGTGGAATCTGACTTCACCAGTATCTTCAAATGTTCCTTAATTCTATTATGCACATTATTGGGATTCTGAAACTGGAGAGAATGATGGCTTTTCTGGGAAAGGCCACACAAACCAGGTTTCTAGAATGGCAGTGGATGAAATGGACCAGCTGGTCACCTGCAGTATGGATGACACTGTGCGCTATACCAACCTTAGCAAGAGAGATTACAGGTTAGTTAAAATGTTACCTTTTATTGCAGTATAATTGTTTTACAGCAAGAATGTTTCTGATTTTATATGGTAAATATAAATGCTGGAGTTTATTTAGATTTTATGTTGCCATGGAAACTGGAAATGATTGCGTGCGGTACCAACCTTTTGCTTTTTTCTGACATTGAGAAATGCATCCCAGGCTTTTCAATTTGCTTTATCCCTTCCATGGGTCAGATGGAGACCTGTCTTGTCTTGGGTGACTTAGTTAAGGGCTGTAGGACAGGTGTCTGCTTTGTGATTTGTAGATACCCAGGGATAGTGAAGATAAATGTGGTTAGGAGGAGTGTGACACAGCTGTTTCTTCATGGAAACCAGAATTTAAAGAATCCTGTTAAGATAATCTAGTTAGTTTAAAAATTAAACTGTAGTATAGTAACATTGACTTTCATTTCAAAGATTTACTATCTCAATCAGATAGTACAGCTTTAAACACAAAACAGTAGGAAACTTTGCAGATTAATAGATAAGAAAATTAATTTATGCATGTTTTTGATGATTAATGAGTGATTATTTGAATGGGCAATTTAAAATAATGGTAGACATGGAATAATTTCTTCCCTCTTTGTCTTTCCTGCTTCTCCACCTTGGCACATCCTCTTCCAGTGGCCAGGATGCTGTGAAAATGGATGTTCAGCCAAAATGTTTAGCTGTGGGTCCTGGTGGTTATACTGTAGTTTTATGCATTGGACAAGTAAGTATTAACATGTGGATATAGACTATTGCTGTGTTAATAATGCCAAGTGTGGTTACATTTACTGTGGGATTACCTTACACATCTGTAGAATTTCCTAATTAGACCTATAGGGAACATAATTCAGCAGGATACTTGATAGCCATGTCTTTTTGCATCCTGTACCAATTTCACATTTATGTACAGGTCTAAATTTCAGACAGGCCCTTGTGTGGATGCATCTGTATTTGTTATCAACACAGCTTTGTGCTGGAAGATTAAACCTCAGAGTTGTGCTCTTGCCAGATTTGTTCAGTGACATGATTTTGGCAAAAGGATGTGTTTTTTGTTGTTTTTTTTTCAATTAATCCCACTAACCAATTAACTATTGCTTTTGTACAGCATAAGCAGCTCTAGCTTGCTTGCCACTAGTATGCAGGGCACAGAAAACGGGAGACATTGCACCAAGTCTCTCTTACATCAAAACATTATTAACTTCTAATGATTTATGCTTTCTGTGTGGGTGCTGGCATTGTGTTTGGGACATTTGATAGTGTTGTCCAAACCTGTTTTCATGTGAGTTAATCCCAGTTAACCATAGCATAGAACTAGTAGGAAATAGCCTTTGAAGTTTAACACCACAGCACTAACTTGCTACTAATTTGGTCCTGCCTCCCTCCCTTTAACTATGGACCAGGAAGGGAATATGCATTGCTAAAAATACTGGTTTGTCCATGTTTATTTCATGTTCAAACCAAGTGAAGTAAAGCTGAAGGCAGTGGAGAATGCCCTGCACTGTGTAATTTAGAACACATGAATACTGCAGTACAGCAGATTAGACACCACATGTAGGCATTTCTTAAATTTTTATTTTTTTTTTAAGAATGAAACTGTTCCCTTAAGATGAGAATACAATAAACTTCTGAGCGACCAGAGGGGATTTGTATTTATGACTAAGAAATGTGGCTTAGTAATAGTTTTATTAGGTACTTTGAAGAGAAGTGTCTTAGTTTTTGGTTTTCTACTTACAGATTGTCTTGATGAAAGACAAGAAAAAGTGTTTTGCAGTTGATGACCTTGGCTATGAGCCAGAAGCTGTAGCCATTCACCCTGCAGGAAGTACAGCAGCAGTGGGAGGAGCGGTAAGGTTGCACTTCCTAAAATTGTACTGCTTTGAACACTGGAGCAAGTAGCAGAAGCATTTAATAGTAATAAATGTGTTGTGTTGAGAAATGGTAGGTGAAAATTTTTAACAGCATCACTGTTGTTAAAGTAAACTGTGTATTTGGTGTTCCTGGGCTTTCATTCACCGGGTTCCACCACAATTGTGATCTAAAGTCTATTTCACTTCTTTTCTGTATTTTCTGTTTTGAAATTGCCATTGCCAAATTGTTTTTACACAGTGTGTTCTTGAAGTAGGCAAATTCTAGAAAAGGGGTTTATTTACAGATTGGGTGGATTGTAGCCAGCATAAATGACATTTTACAGGTTGTCTAAACCTTTTCTTAACATAAGTACTACTACACCAAATTAATGCAAAAAATTGCAGCATTCTTTCTATTGTAAAATTATTTTTTTACCTTTTCTCCTTCATTGCTATTAATTTGCAGGATGGGAATGTCCATTTGTATTCAATCCAAGGAACCTCTTTGAAAAGTGATGATAAGACTTTGGAAGCTAAAGGTCCTGTTACTGACCTGGCATATTCTCACGATGGTGCCTTTCTTGCAGTCTGTGATGCAAACAAAGTTGTCACTGTCTTTAGTGTTGCTGATGGCTACTCGGTAAGAATTGTTGTAGTGAGAATTGTCTTTGTTTAAATGCAAATTGTCTGACAGCTCATGTCTAAATCTGTTGTAGTGAAGTACATTGTAGCTGCTGAGGTTTAATTGTAAATCATTGCTGTTAATTTGATGTTTCTGTGACTGTTTACCTGCTATTTTGGGCTAGTACTGTCGTTTATACACAGCAGCTTATGTGAACCCTCCAGACTGTAAAAAAGTTGAGGAAATGTGCAGCATAGGTTGGCTGCTGGGAATGCACTGAAACCCATCTAACAACAAATGCATATTTAAAAAAAGGATGGAGATGAATTTCCACAGACTAGCGGTAGTTAAGTACAAATTGTTCCTTTGGGTCTCCTGAACCACTAGTTCGTTGCTTAGTTGTTTTTTAAAGGAAATAACAAAACAGATGCAATGTCTGTTTGAGAACTTGTGTGCATTTTTGTAAAATGGTCAAGAATGTAGGCTCAGTTTGATAAGAATCGTGCAGTACAATAAAATTCAATGAAGTAAATAAAGCAGATTGGCAATAAGATTCTGCTGGCTCTGGCACACAGTTCCGTGGTAAAGACTGAGCTATGAAAGGAATATGTTAGGACAGGGAATCTTTCTGTATCTGCCAATCTACTGCCGTGTAACCAAAAATAAAAAAAATGGCAATTTCCACTTTTCAGCCCAAGCAGTCAATGTGTATCAGCCTGTAAACTCCTTAAACTTTGTCTGAAACAACACTGAAGTAAAAAGGCAGGATGGCATTCCACAAAAAACATTCCATTTTCTACGTAAAAATTTAAAATAATTTTGCCTTGAGAAACATCTGTGGGGACTATTTTAGAAGCCTCTAAATTGCATATGCACTTAACAGATCAAGCTTTCATAGAAAAATGTCTTGGGCTGATAAAATGCAAACCCCTTTTGTAAAAAAAACACTATTTAAGATGAAGCCACCACTTTATTTGCTTTGTGCATCTGCACCTGAGATGTATATTGTCTGGAGTCTTGCAGTAGCATGTTCTGATGCTGCACATTGAAAGCTCGTTCTTGGAGTAGCTTTAACTAATGGAATAACCCTGGTCTCCCTAATTTTCAAATAGGAGCATAATGTCTTCTACGGACACCATGCAAAAGTTGTTTGTATTGCATGGTCACCAGACAATGAACACTTTGCTTCTGGAGGCATGGACATGATGGTATATGTTTGGACTGTGAGTGATCCAGAGACCAGAGTCAAGATACCAGGTATGTTTTCTTCAACATAATACTTTTGAAAGATTCTAGTAGTTCTTGAAATCCAGCACTTATAGGCTAATGGTAAGCAGGCTTTGAATGTTCCCAGAGTAATTTAGCCTTTGTTTTAATCTCTATCTAGCCACACTAGCTGGAAATATTCTGTTATTTTTGTAGTTACTTTTAAAATCCAGAACTAGTATTTAATGCAGCTCAAAATCATATTTGGAATGTGCTGAAGTTGTCAACCCAGCATTCCTAATTCTTTTCTGTTACTTTGCACTGCAATACAGATGCCCACAGACTACATCACGTAAGCGGCTTGGCGTGGTTGGATGAACATACTCTGGTAACAACATCCCACGATGCTTCTGTTAAAGAGTGGTCTATCTCCTACAATTGAAATAAGCCCCCTCTTTGGAAGGACCTAATCAGGGACTAGAACTACTGCAGTGGAACATAGTACTTCTCTTTAAAAATCTGTATTGGCCTCTGGGTCTGCTGTCATATCCTCATATCTTTACAGGGTGTTCATATCTGTAATTAAATGTACTTTGAAAGCTTTAGCGAGTAACAGTTTGCACATGAAAAGCACTTAAATTATGTCTGGAGCTTAACCTTTGTGCTGAACATTCCAGAGGCAACAGCCAAACAAGTTGGTGTGCAAGGTTCAGGCGCAAAAGATTCCAACTCAATCAGTTGTACTTTTCTAACCAAGAAACATAAGACTGTACAGCATGAGAGTAATACTTCTCATTTTTTCTAATTACAGAACATTTCTGTACTAACAGTCATAGTAAGAGTATTTAGTTGTGGTCTGAAACCAATCAAGCTGTGTGCAGCTACTGTATATTGCTTTGCTTCTCTATACTGCACCAAACTGTTGCCTCAGATTTTCTCCTCCAGATAAGAAGATGGGGTACATACATAATAAACTTTTTATGTATTTCATGTCAAATCTTTGTGGTTTATTTTAAGGTGGAAGTGTGGGATTTTAATGTACTTACTGTTGTGGGTATAATGTTTACAAATAATCGTTGTGGCAACTTGTTGCTTCAGAAACACAATTGTTGCTTTCATGAATTAAGACTGTCTCGTCATTTCAGTGTCAGAGAAAGAAATCATACTGTTTCAAAGATTAAAGATATTTTCTGTTTGAAGGAGGACAAGCATGTTATTGTTTAAAAAAATGCAGTACTTCTACCACCTTTTGGAAAATACAGGAATTAAACAAAGTGAAGTGTTGTTATGACTTGAAGTGATTTTTGAGAAGATGGTGTTTGCTCAGTAAGTTTTATGCCTTTGCATGTGCAGAACAGTTGCATGAAAGCGTTACCTCATGCGAAGAGATCCCGATGTTGTGTTTAGTTCCCTTCTCACACTCCACAGTATGTTTAAGTGATTTGAAGCTAGCAGTCCAACAAGGGTGGAGGAGGACACTCTGATGCAAAGTAGTAGGAAGATTTGTTACCACCTCTGATGGCCAAAAAGAGTTGTTGCTGTCTAGAACCTTGGAAGACTTTTAAAAAAATATTTTCTCTGCTAAATCTCTACCACCACCACCACCTTTCCAGTTGTCTTTGGGTTTTATTAAGCTTTCCTTTCTGTGTGGACTCGCGTGTATTTTTTACCAATCATATTTCTAATGACACTAATTATACAGCAAATAAAATGCTTTTGCTGCTTCTCATACTGTGGCCTATTGCTCAATTGCTGAAAAAAAAAATTGCCTTGCAAAAATGAAACGTTGATAAAACATCTTTTGCAAAGGAAAAATGTTGATTTCTTTTTCGGAGTGGTGATCATAATGTCTCCTAGCCTACAAACCAGCATCTACAGTGAAACAGGTGCATAGATTTTTCTTTTTTTTTTTTTCCTTCTTCTTCTAAGAAGTGGGATATTTTGGCCTCTTGTTTTCTTTGTGTTTACTGTGTCTCTCTATTACCAGTTTTTCATGTTTTTCTTGCTAACAATGCAAGGACAAGAGAAGGTTAGGAAAAGGGTGCATTTGATTTTTTTCGTAAGATCCAAATGAACGGTTTTCTGTGTCTACCCCCTGAAAGTCATTCTGCTGTTGCACAGGGACTAGCATAGCAAGCAATTCATCCATTGTTCCTGAGTTTGACCTGGAAGAGTTGCAATTGAATCTGATCAGTGGGTTCCTGTGGTAGTTGAATCCCTGTCATTTAAGTAATTGTGAATGGGAGGGGAAGAGGAGTTAAGCAGTTATCAGAGCTTGTGCAGTATGCCTGAAAGGTGTAGAATGAGCTATTTTTTGATTCCTCAAAGACCTTGTAGTACTGGTCCTGTGAAATGCCTGTTAGCCAGAAACCCTGCATGGAGATGTGTGTTTGGATGGCAGTGAGGGTGACTGCTCGTGCTTCAGCTTCCACTGGATTTGTTTATTGGCATATGGCCTGAGCTAATTCCTTAAGACCTTAATATGGTCTTTGTAGTTGGCTAGGAAATCCTGACTAAAAAACTGAAAATGTATTCTGCTATTGGACAAAATTTCATAGCAGAGGTCCATTGTTGATCCAGTGTACACACACCACAAACTGATCTAAGGAGTCTGGCTGTACTGCTCTGAATCAGGCCTCTACATTACTTGTGTTTGCCCCAGACTGCAAACGTGCTACAGTCAAACCCCTTGGCCTGCCCTTGAACAGAGAAACAGGAAAAAAAAACAGGATTGTCTGTATAGATTATAGTGACTTCAAAAGGAAATAGAGATATTTGACATGAATGTGAAATCAGGCTCAGAGGATGCAAATTAAAAAAAAACCTAACAGAAAAACCAGCAAACAGCCCCACACCTTAAAAAAACCTCAAAGCACCTTATATGTTGCTATCTTAAGAGTTGTATTTTATTGTTAGTTCAAACCCTGTTCAAACATAACTGCTCAATCTCCCTTATTCTTGAAGGCTTCTGTTTTAAACATGAGTATGCTTTTGAGGTCCTCCAGGCAGTTACTGGAAAGCTGGTTTCACTTCATCATGACAGTGAAAATGCAGCTTAATTAGGCCAGGGGTAGATTTGGAGAACTAATGTGACCAGTAATTCCTCACAAGGCTGTAATGCAGGCATTCCTCTCCCCTCCCCCTTTAACTGTGATTTAATCCTGGCTGCCTGTTCCATTTCTGCCACGCTTGTACAGCACATTGGCCTTCCAAGAAGCTGGTCTGTATAGTCAGCCAGAAATTCACCAGCAGCTGTTGTGTGGAATATCAGCAAATCCTAAATGCAATTCTTTAATTGGCAATTGGTAGAAGGGAAAAATAGAGGGCATCACTCATCTATTTGGAGATGGAAGTTGTTTGTTTTGTTGGACCCAATGGAATTATGGATAGATGTTTTGACACCTCTGTTCCTCTGCCAAATGCTTGTCCCCTTAACAATTAGAATTCCTCAGACTGAGGGTAGCAGCCTTAAAGTCTTAATAGCAGCAATATTTTTCTGAAGTAAAATACCAAATATGTAGAATCCTTCAACCTGGAACTGATTTTTTTATTTTTTTTGGAGGTGCAGTTCTAAGCAGAGAACACAGTATGTCACTGCAGATACTGTTTCATGGTTGTGACACAAGAAAGGATTTGCTGATAAAAACTGTTCCCTACATTAAATTTAGCTGTGTCTATCTCTGTGATGAAAGTATACAGAGCAGAAAAAGGTGCCTTCAGTAGGCCTGGGAGCAGAATTATGCAGTTAAGTGGCTGGGCTGAGAACAAGTCACATGTTCACATATATACAGCAGATGCTTGTTCTGGAAGTGCCAAGCTTCCCAGAGAGACTTGGGAATGAAGTTAAGCAGGGAAAGAATCATATAATATCTTAGTTTGGAAGGGACCCATAACAAACATCAGACTGCAATGAATAAATGTATGTGTTTTCCATACTAAAGGCAGTTTGTTTGAAATACCAATATTTTTACTGACAGGAATGAAGTCTGTTACACCAATTCATAGATGTGTTGGTGGAAGGACCCTAAAGGCCTTGTCTCAAGTATGAAGTAAGTCTGTGGGCAATACTAGACCAGATCAGCTAAGTTCTGTTTTCTAATCAAGTCTTAAGAAACTGAAAAGGATGGAGATCATGCAGCCTCTTTGAGTAATCTGTTCCACTTAGATTTTTCCTAATGTCCAGCCTGAGACTCCAAGCTGTATTGCATGACCACTCATTTAGATTATCTGTTACTAGCAGGAGAAGGTTGAACACTGTGTCCTTGGTGTTGTCCCCCTGGAATGTTCTCTTTGTTATCTGCTGGTCCTCAGCTGGATGTTAAGTTGTTGATTTGTTCCAGCCCACTTCCCTCAGCTTCTAAGGACAGCCCTTGTGGGAGGTGTTGTGTTGTCTGAGGCCCAGATGCGCTGCATCACCTCTCTCACCCCATCAGCATTGCTGTTAGCAGTGAGATGCAGTTATCAAGTGGTCAAGTCAAATTTGCCTGTGACTAGTCCATGTTGGTTATTCCTGTGTCCTGCAAGTATTTAGGATTAATTTCCAAGGGGAGGTGTACCTTCATCCCTCTGGGGACTGCAGTGGAAGCAAACTAGCCCCTGTTCCTTGAGTGTTCTTTTTATTCAGACTTGAGGTCTTTTTCCAGTAAACAGAGCTATGATAAACATGGTTTGTTTCATGTAAGATATTTTAACTATCTCGTAATCATGTGGGCTTTGTGCTGGTCCCATCACCACCATGTATGGACTTGAATGCATCCAGTTTTTAGGTAGACCCTGTCATTGTTTCCTCCTGATGAAGTCAGAAATTGTTGAGTACTTGAGCATTTTCTACCACCTTGTGCCAGTTTATTTTCCTCATTTAAGAATAGACCTCCATTTTTCCTTGAAAAATTGAAGCAAAAAATCTGTATTGTTCATGTTCTAAATATCTACAGCACTACTGTGTTTCTCTTTTAAAGCAGAGACAGCAGAAGAAATTTTGTTTTCTTGCCTTGTTGCTTGAGACGTGCAGAAAGTACATCAGGTCTGAGGAATAGGCCTCACTTTTATTCTGAGCTCTATTTCTGAGAAGTTCAGTCCCAGAGCTGTAATAACAGTTACATCCTGATGAGAAGAGCTTCATAGATTGGTGTATCTTTATGAATCTCTGGTTCATCAGCTCTCAATGAGCCAGCCTGGGAGAAACTCAATATACAAGCCAGGCTTAGCTGTCCCCTTTTCCCACTCTGTAGGTTAGCTGGCAGCTGAGTATACTGCCTGTGGAACTGGGAGCAGTGGGGCTCTTGGCCCAGACCAGCCAGCTTGTTCTGTGAGCAGTCAGCTTCTGCCCACCTCTGAGTTAGATCAGTCAGTCCTGATTTCCTGCAGAAAAAGATAGAAGTTCGAAGTGCAATTTACTCCTGACACCAAAAGAGGCTTCTTCTGTGATACCCAGAATTGCTTGACGTTCCTGGTCTGTGTGATTGCCAGCAAGACTGTCCCACATGAACAAGGGAGTCACCTGGATTTAGCAACCCCTGAAAACATGGCTTATCAGCATCATTCAGGCTGCACTGTCAGATGATCTCACTACCTGAGAGTTGCTTAGCATGTCAGTCAGGCCTCACTGTTTGCCTGCTGATTTGCTTTACTCTATAAATCTTGCAGGCATTAAAATGGGAAGGGGGAATCTTTTCAGGGTAGCCAGGTGTGAATATTTTGGCCAAATAAATATTGAAAAATGTCTATGCCAGGATTCTCCTGCTCTGCAGGCAGGCCAGATTTCTGGGTTGGCATATTTAACCTGTGTTTCCTGGACTCTGTTGCCTTATATGCAGCCTGCAACGTTTGCATGACTTGTACAGAACACAAGGGCTTCCTCCATGTGTTCATTCCTCCTTTGAAGGCCCTTCATATGCCCACTGACCTGCAGGGAAGCAGCACTGGCTTGCTGCTGATCTGCTCAGGGTTCTCAGTATCATTCTTAGTACAGAGACTCTAGAAGTGCAACCCCACAAGGCAAGGGCAGTGGCTCCAGGATCAGGAAACTGGGGAAGAAGCTGCAGCCAGGTAAGTTAAAGCATAAGGTATTTAAAGATTTCCCAACAGCATTTATTTGGAGATGGAAAACAGTCCCTTCTGCTGAGTATTTTTGATCATCTTCATGGACAATCCATTTCCAAGCAGTTAAAACCCAAATCTTTAATGCGTGCTGCAGACTAAGCTGTGCCTCAGTTAACTGCAGAAACACCTGCACCATATTAAAATATAAAAAGGAAACTTTAGGTAAGGAAGGGGTTAAGAAAACAC